TGTTAACCCTTAGTGGAGATGTTAACCCTTAGTGGAGATGTTAACCCTTAGTAGTGATGTTAACCCTTAGTGGTGATGTTAACCCTTAGTGGTGATGTTAACCCTTAGTGGAGATGTTAACCCTTAGTGGAGATGTTAACCCTTAGTGGAGATGTTAACCCTTAGTGGTGATGTTAACCCTTAGTAGTGATGTTAACCCTTAGTGGTGATGTTAACCCTTAGTGGAGATGTTAACCCTTAGTGGAGATGTTAACCCTTAGTTGTTAACCCTTAGTGGTGATGTTAACCCTTAGTGGTGATGTTAACCCTTGTTAGTATGTGATGTTAACCCTTAGTTAACCCTTAGTGTGATGTTAACCCTTAGTGGTGATGTTAACCCTTAGTGGTGATTAGTGGTGATGTTAACCCTTAGTGGAGATGTTAACCCTTAGTTGTTAACCCTTAGTTAACCCTTAGTAGTGATGTTAACCCTTAGTGGAGATGTTAACCCTTAGTGGAGATGTTAACCCTTAGTAGTGATGTTAACCCTTAGTGTGATGTTAACCCTTAGTGGAGATGAACCCTTAGTGGTGATGTTAACCCTTAGTAGTGATGTTAACCCTTAGTGGTGATGTTAACCCTTAGTGGAGATGTTAACCCTTAGTAGTGATGTTAACCCTTAGTGGTGATGTTAACCCTTAGTGGAGATGTTAACCCTTAGTGGAGATGTTAACCCTTAGTGGTGATGTTAACCCTTAGTGGAGATGTTAACCCTTAGTGGAGATGTTAACCCTTAGTGGTGATGTTAACCCTTAGTGGTGATGTTAACCCTTAGTAGTGATGTTAACCCTTAGTGGAGATGTTAACCCTTAGTAGTGATGTTAACCCTTAGTGGTGATGTTAACCCTTAGTAGTGATGTTAACCCTTAGTGGTGATGTTAACCCTTAGTGGTGATGTTAACCCTTAGTGGTGATGTTAACCCTTAGTAGTGATGTTAACCCTTAGTAGTGATGTTAACCCTTAGTAATGATGTTAACCCTTAGTAGTGATGTTAACCCTTAGTAGTGATGTTAACCCTTAGTGGAGATGTTAACCCTTAGTAGTGATGTTAACCCTTAGTAGTGATGTTAACCCTTAGTAGTGATGTTAACTCTTAGTAGTGATGTTAACCCTTAGTGGAGATGTTAACCCTTAGTAGATGTTAACCTAGTGGTGATGTTAACCCTAGTAGTGATGTTAACCCTTAGTGGAGATGTTAACCCTTAGGTGATGTTAACCCTAGTGGAGATGTTAACCCTTAGTGGAGATGTTAACCTTAGTGGTGATGTTAACCCTAGTGGTGATGTTAACCCTAGTGGAGATGTTAACCCTAGTGAGATTAACCCCTCAGTGAGATGTTAACCTTAGTGGTGATGTTAACCCTTAGTGGTGATGTTAACCCTTAGTGAGATGTTAACCCTAGTAGTGATGTTAACCCTAGTGGTGATGTTAACCCTGCGGAGATGTTAACCCCAGGTGTGATGTTAACTCTAGTAGTGATGTTAACCCTAGTGGTGATGTTAACCCTAGGCGGTGATGTTAACCCTTAGTGGTGATGTTAACCCTTAGTAGTGATGTTAACCCTTAGTGGTGATGTTAACCCTTAGTAGTGATGTTAACCCTTAGTGGTGATGTTAACCCTTAGTAGTGATGTTAACCCTTAGTGGTGATGTTAACCCTTAGTGGTGATGTTAACCCTTAGTGGTGATGTTAACCCTTAGTAGTGATGTTAACCCTTAGTAGTGATGTTAACCCTTAGTAATGATGTTAACCCTTAGTAGTGATGTTAACCCTTAGTGGTGATGTTAACCCTTAGTGGAGATGTTAACCCTTAGTGGAGATGTTAACCCTTAGTGGTGATGTTAACCCTTAGTGGTGATGTTAACCCTTAGTAGTGATGTTAACCCTTAGTGGAGATGTTAACCCTTAGTAGTGATGTTAACCCTTAGTGGTGATGTTAACCCTTAGTAGTGATGTTAACCCTTAGTGGTGATGTTAACCCTTAGTGGTGATGTTAACCCTTAGTGGTGATGTTAACCCTTAGTAGTGATGTTAACCCTTAGTAGTGATGTTAACCCTTAGTAATGATGTTAACCCTTAGTAGTGATGTTAACCCTTAGTGCCACATTACGGTGGTCTAGGACAGAGCATGTATGTATGTATGTATGTATGTATGTATGTATGTATGTATGTTCTCCACACACCAGCTAGGGTGACACAGTTATTACCATAATCTTATGTAACAGATAAATTCTTCTTCCGATTCAAAATTGTTGTCATTCTTTTCCTGTCATCATAACTCTCTCTCTCTCTCTCTCTCTCCACTATAAAGTACACCTCTCCCCTACACTAAGGACATGAGAGGAAACAAGTACCATATTACATTATCAAGTACACTATACACCTAAGAACGACCCCAGCATACTATTAAGTACCTAAGGACGACCCCAGCACACTATTAAGTACCTAAGGACGACCCCAGCACACTATTAAGTACCTAAGGACGAATCAAGGACACTTATGGACAATTCAAGTACATAAACACGTACACACAGACACATGTTACTGACCGTGATGTTCCACTGTGAGCGCAGGTCGTCACACCATTGTTGATAAGGGGCTCCACACTGTGCCACCCTCGTCAGGAATTCGCCAAGTTCACGGACCACAGTGGGATTGCCTTCCACCTGTACCCCACCTGACTGTAGCCACTCCTGTAATATAATAGGTCGGTTATGTATCTGTGTCACCTGACTGTAGCCACTCCTGTAATATAATAGGTCGGTTATGTATCTGTGTCACCTGACTGTAGCCACTCCTGTAATATAATAGGTCGGTTATGTATCTGTGTTAAATTAATGTAATCTATTAACCCTAGTTAATGTAATTTAACCCAATTTAACTTTGATCTAGTTTATTGGAAGTTAATCTAACTTAATTGAACTTTAACCTAATTTAACATGACCTGACTTGATCTAACCTTATCTAACTTAACCTAATCTACCTTAACCCGCCCTAACCTAACCTAACCTAACCTATTGGACGATCACTGCAACATACAGATAATCATGAACAAGAGGGTTGAGTTGAGGTAAGCAGAAGAACATGGTTAGGTTAGAGAGGACAAGATTAGGTTAGGGAGGACAAGATTAGGTTAGGGAGGACAAGATTAGGTTAGGGAGGACAAGATTAGGTTAGGGAAGACAAGGTTAGGTTAGGTTAGGTTAGGTTAGGTTAGGTTAGGTTAGGTTAGGTTAGGACAGGCTTCTCACCTCAACACACAGCAGGACAGCTCGGTGCACTGCAGGGATGTCCACCACTATATATACCGGGGAGTCAAACCGTCGGTACCTGGTGGGGGTGACGGAGCTGGAGCGAGACGACCCCACACCACGAAGGTCCTCCCCGCCCGCCTGAAGGTTGGAGGGCAGGGCGGACAGCGGCGCCTCATCTGCCCCAGACATGGTGGCGTAGTTTCGCGGGGGTGTGATGGGAGAGAGAGCTGGGGAGCGTAGCCGTGGGGAGGATAGAGAGTGTGGGGAGTAAGGTGAGCCAGGAGACAGGAATGGGGAGTTTGGTCTTTGTGAGACCGGGGAGACGTGCGAGGAGACCGGTGACCCTAGGTTACGTGGTGACCCGATGCCAGGTGAGTGGAGTGGCGTGGAAGAGGCGATGTTGTGGGCTGAGTGAGACGGTGAGAGGTGAGGGGAGGCGAAGTGATGAGGCGAGAGGTGAGTAGTGGGTGACAGGTGAGGGCTGGGTGGCAGAGTCAGCTGGGCCGACAGCAGCCCTGTGTGCAGCTCGGAGGTGGCGGTGGGCGAGCGGCTGATGGGTGTTGGCCGAGGCACCAGGAGGGTCGACATGCTCTCGAAGGTGACGCGCGGCACCGACCGTGACCGTTGTCTGAAGGGCGGCGGCGTGTGCACGTCCTGGTCATCGATGCGCTCGTAAGATGGCAGGTTCTGTAGCTGCCGCTGAAAGGCCATAATATCCTCCTCACACAGGGTCAGGTCGTCACGGGACTGAGAGATGTTGGGCGTCGACCCAGAGGAGTTGATCTGATCGTGTACCGACTTGGACCTTTTCTTGTGGAGGCTGGAGAACCTAAAGCTTCTTTTCTGGAAGAACGATGGTGAGCCAGACGGTGTGGTGCCCTTGGAGGAGCTACTGGTGGAGTAGTGGGAGTCTGAGGCCCTCAGTCTAGAGGGCAGCAGCTGCTGGAGGGTGACACTCACGTCTGTGGTGCTCAGAGCTTCCACCAGGGTGTTGCGAAACTTACGGCTGGACGCCGGCCCCGAGAGAGCACTTCCTGGTGTGGACGCCTTCCTGTGGTAGTGTTTACACGGCGCCTCCTCACTGTTAGCTCGATGAACGGCCGGGGAAGGTCGGTTCCGTTGGCCACGTTCTGGGGGCGAAAAGGCCGGCTCCTCGGGGCAAGCTTCCGCAAAATCCAGCGTGAGGTTGACCCTCCGCCTCTTGCGGAGTGTGGAGGCATCCGTCTCGGAGGAGGAGGTGCGGGAGCGTGCACGCCACAGCTCCGAGGAGTGGGAGGTCCAGGAGGAGCGGGAGGTGCAAGACTTCCACTTGGTGAGGTGGTGCATGGAGGTGAGGAGCCGGTGGAGCAGGAGTCGGAGAAAGATGACCGGGTGGAGCACCAGCGGCAGACCCAGCATAAGGCACGAGAGAAACCGACGACCTATGGGGCCGTCCTCCCTCGATGAGACCTTCTTCCCGACCCCCCGCACACCTGTAACAACACCTGCATCAGTACTACACCTGTAACACTACACCTACATCAGTACTACACCTGTAACACTACACCTACATCAGTACTACACCTGTAACACTACACCTGTAACAACACCTGCATCAGTACTACACCTGTAACACAACACCTACATCAGTACTACACCTGTAACACTACACCTGTAACAACACCTACTGATGATACTATTATACTATATTATACAGGGTATAATATTAACTTTGCTATAGGAGAAAGTGAAGAATATATTAAGGAAGTTAATTTATACGATACAATATGGCAGCTGCTTAATAAGGTACTGTACACACTGTGGCTCTCATGCGTTCATAACATCACACACAATACAGGAGTCATTGCGCTACGACACACACACACACACACACACACACACACACACACACACACACACTAGGGGCCTATTAGGAACTGAGGTCAATGAGAACTAGGGGCCTATTAGGACTGAGGTCAATGAGAACTTGGGGCCTATTAGGACTGAGGTCAATAAGAACTAGGGGCCTATTAGGAATGGTGCCTATAAAAATTGATATCTATTAGGGTTGGGGCCCAATAGAACTAGGGCGTAATAAGACTGGGGTCTAGGAGAACTTTGGTCCACTAAATCTGGGGCCTAATAAGACTGTCCTTAAAGACTGGGACCTAATAGAACTTGGGTCAATCCAGACTGGGGCCCAATAAGACTGGCCTTAAAACTGGGGCCTAATAGAACTTGGGTCAATCTAGATCTGGGGCCTACAAAAACTGGGGCCCACAAGACTGGGGCCCAGGTGACAGGGCAAGAGAGGAGAAGATTAGCTCAATACTGAGGAATTGTACCAAGAGAAATCTTTAATACATCATTGGGTTCCCACGAGTGGGAGGAGGGGGAGCAGAGGGGGAGGAGAGGTGAGAGGCAAGAGAGGGGGAGCAGAGGGGAGGAGAGGTGAGAGGCAAGAGAGGGAGAGGGAGGAGACAAGGGGGGGTGTTCAGATACATTTAAGACACCAACACCACACAAAAACAAGATACAAGCAAGACACCAACACCACACAAACACAAGAAAGACACAAACACCACACAAACACCACAAAACAACACACAAGCACCACAAAGCATCACACAAACACCACAAAACAGTACACAAACACAAAATACAAGCAAGGCACAAGCAATGATAAGAACCATAAGAATAGCCTACTAGCAGAACAGAAGGTACATTAATTAAACAAACAAGCATGATAAAAGTATCAAACAAACACCACACAAGCAGCCCACAAACACCACACAAGCAGCCCACAAACACCACACAAGCAGCCCACAAACACCACACAAGCAGCACACAAACACAGCAAGAAGCAGGATAAGTGAGCCATCGAGTGAGTGAGAAGAAGACGTGTGGGTATAAACCTTAGAGCTCTGACCTCTTGTCACCTCGCTGGGGTCTGACATCCAGTCCATGTTGTTCCAGCCTTCACCTGTTGGAGTCATGCCGGCTGTAGTGGTCGTCTGTAATGGTTAAAGTTATCACAGGTTAATGTTCTGAGAGTAGGTTAGGTTAAGGGTCTGTAATGGTTAAAACTTATCTTAGGTTAATGTTGTGAGAGTAGGTTAGGTTAAGGGTCTGTAATGGTTAAAGTTATCACAGGTTAATGTTCTGAGAGTAGGTTAGGTTAAGGGTCTGTAATGGTTAAAGTTATCACAGGTTAATGTTCTGAGAGTAGGTTAGGTTAAGGGTCTGTAATGGTTAAAGTTATCACAGGTTAATGTTCTGAGAGTAGGTTAGGGTTATGGGTCTGTAATGGTTAAAGTTATCAAGGCAAGTTAATGTTCTGAGAGTAGGTATAGGGTTATGTGGTCTGTAATGGTTAAAGTTATCAAGCAGGTTAATGTTCTGAGAGTAGGTTAGGTTAAGGGTCTGTAACGGCTAAAGTTACTGGGCTTATAGGTTAATGTCTTCTGAGAGTAGGTTAGGTTAAGGGTCTGTAATGGTTAAAGCATCACAGGTTAATGTTCTGAGAGCAGGTTAGGTTAAGGGTCTGTAATGGTTAAAGTTATCACAGGTTAATGTTCTGAGAGTAGGTTAGGTTAAGGGTCTGTAATGGTTAAAACTTATCTTAGGTTAATGTTGTGAGAGTAGGTTAGGTTAAGGGTCTGTAATGGTTAAAGTTATCACAGGTTAATGTTCTGAGAGTAGGTTAGGTTAAGGGTCTGTAATGGTTAAAGTTATCACAGGTTAATGTTCTGAGAGTAGGTTAGGTTAAGGGTCTGTAATGGTTAAAGTTATCACAGGTTAATGTTCTGAGAGTAGGTTAGGTTAAGGGTCTGTAATGGTTAAAACTTATCTTAGGTTAATGTTAGGTTAGGTTAAGGGTCTGTAATGGTTAAAACTTATCTTAGGTTAATGTTGTCAGGTTAGGTTAGGTTAAGGGTCTGTAATGGTTTAAACTTATCTTAGGTTAATGTTGTGGGAGCAGGTTAGGTTAGGTTAAGGGTCTGCAATGGTTAAAACTTATCTTAGGTTAATGTTCTCAGGATAGGTTAGGTTTAGGTTAAGGGACTGTAATGGATAAAGTTATCACAGGTTAATGTTCTCGGGTTAGATTAGGTTGGGGATTAATAATTATTATATATCACAAACTTTGTCTCTTTCTATCGTAGTAGTGTTGAAAATAGGTATGGTAGTTATGGTAGTTATGGTAGTGATGGTAGTTATGGTAGTGATGCAGTTATGGTAGTGATGGTAGTTATGGTAGTGATGGTAGTTGGTAGTGATGGTAGTTTGAGAGATGGTGGTTAAGGTGAGTTGGTAGTGATGGTGTTATGAGAAAGATTGGTAGTTATGGTAGTGATGGTAGTTATAGTAGTGATGGTAGTGATGGTAGTTATGGTAGTGATGAGAGTGATGGTAGTGATGCAGTGATGGTAGATGGTAGTGACGGTGGAAGTTATGGTAGTGATGGTAGTTAGTGGTAGTGATGGTAGTTATGGTAGTGATGGTAGTTATGGTAGTGATGGTAGTTATGGTAGTGATGGTAGTTATGGTAGTTATGGTAGTGATGGTAGTGATGGTAGTTATGGTAGTTATGGTAGTTATGGTAGTGATGGTAGTGATGGTAGTTATGGTAATGATGGTAGTTATGGTAATGATGGTAGTTATGGTAATGATGGTAGTTATGGTAATGATGGTAGTTATGGTAATGATGGTAGTTATGGTAATGATGGTAGTTATGGTAGTTATGGTAATGATGGTAGTTATGGTAGTGATGGTAGTTAAGGTACGATAGTAGTTAAGGCAATGATGGTAGTTATGGTAATGATGTAGTATGGTAGTTATGGTAGTTATGGTAGTTATGGTAGTTATGGTAGTGATGGTAGTTATGGTAGTGATGGTAGTTATGGTAGTGATGGTAGTTATGGTAGTGATGGTAGTTATGGTAGTTATGGTAGTGATGGTAGTGATGGTAGTTATGGTAGTTATGGTAGTTATGGTAGTGATGGTAGTGATGGTAGTTATGGTAATGATGGTAGTTATGGTAATGATGGTAGTTATGGTAATGATGGTAGTTATGGTAATGATGGTAGTTATGGTAATGATGGTAGTTATGGTAATGATGGTAGTTATGGTAGTTATGGTAATGATGGTAGTTATGGTAGTTATGGTAGTTATGGTAGTTATGGTAGTTATGGTAATGATGGTAGTTATGGTAATGATGGTAGTTATGGTAATGATGGTAGTTATGGTAGTTATGGTAGTTATGGTAGTGATGGTAGTTATGGTAGTTATGGTAGTGATGGTAGTTATGGTAGTTATGGTAGTTATGGTAGTTAAGGTAATGATGGTAGTTATGGTAGTGATAGTAGTTATGGTAATGATGGTAGTTATGGTAGTTACCTCTAAGGTCTTGAGGGTATGCAGCACCATGCCCTCCACTGACATGCCCAAGACCTTCTTGTTCTCGTGTGACGTCACTATGGGAGGCGGGGCTGACGTCATCATGATGTAGTCGTCCTCAGAACTCTCCCCCAGAGGCGTTGGTGGAGGTGCCTCGTCTGGAACCGTTAAAACCGTTAAAAACCGTTACATATGAATTAAAATGTTTTAAAACCGTTACATTTGAATTAAAATGTGTTAAAAACCGTTACATTTGAATTAAAATGTGTTAAAAGCCGTTACATTTGAATTAAAATGTGTTAAAAACCGTTACATTTGAATTAAAATGTGTTAAAAGCCGTTACATTTGAATTAAAATGTGTTAAAAACCGTTACATTTGAATTAAAATGTGTTAAAAGCCGTTACATTTGAATTAAAATGTGTTAAAAACCGTTACATTTGAATTAAAATGTGTTAAAAGCCGTTACATTTGAATTAAAATGTGTTAAAACTGTTACATTTGAATTAAAACAAGATAAGCTTTAATAAGGTTATATTCAAGTTATAAATAACATTCTGTATATTAAACATATTACTTAAATAAACAAAATACCTGGTATATTAAATATTATATAAATGTATTAAATTTAAATAAAGTTCGTTAAATTCAAAATAAAGTTCGTTAAATTCAAAATGAAGTTCGTTGAATTCAAAATAAAGTTCGTTGATTTCAAAATAAAGTTCGTTAAATTCAAAATAAAGTTCGTTGAATTCAAAATAAAGTTCGTTAAATTCAAAATGAAGTTCGTTAAATTCAAAATGAAGTTCGTTGAATTCAAAATAAAGTTCGTTAAATTGAAAATAATGTTCGTTTTATTTCTCTGCCAACTGAACTGTCTCTCACTCTTAATTAAAATACTTCTGCCTCACAAAGATCTGTATACAGTATAACCTCACTATAACGAACTTCTCTCCATATAACCCGTTAGATAAAGGCTTCACATCTAACGAACCACCAATAAAACGAACTACCATCTCTATATTGTCCATTAAATAGTGATTTCAATATCCAACTAAAACGACTGACCGTTAAAACCGTTATATTCAAATTCAAAATGATAGCAATGTAATCCCTTGCCAGTTCAACTATATATTTCACTCTTAATTAAAAACAGTTCCCACCCACACCCACACCCACACACACCCACACACCCACACACACACTAGAAGAATGTGTTGCAAATCACCGATACAAAGGTAAGGTAATTGTGGCCTGAGGTAAAAAAGGTAAATTAGATTAGAATAAATTACCTCTTCCTCAGGTATGTAGAGGTGATCAGCTACACTAATGAGTATAATAGACTTTATCGTTGACTGGGAGAAGACCATAGTCGGCCCTTTTGAGAGTATGTCCCCTATGATATTGTACTGATTTGACCAGGGTCGCCACACCTCTGACTGACCCCACACGATTCCTAATTATTATCATCATTTCCCTTAACCCGGATAATGGGTCAGCGGTGAGGCATCCCTACCTACCCACACCTAAACTAACCAACTCAAAAACTGACCTGAAAATGACCAACAATTAGACCTAGAAAAACGGTCTACAGAATTACTTTACATAACTCAAGCAGAAAAGACTGTGGCCCACGAGACGTATTCGTGAGGGGGGTCGACTCCTGTGAGAGAGGAGGCAATATGTGATGCTACCTGGCCATACAGCTTAATATGTGATGCTACCTGGCCATGACTCAATATGTGATGCTACCTGGCACAGCAATATGTGATGCTACCACGCCCACAGCTCAATATGTGATGCTACCTGGCCATACAGCTTAATATGTGATGCTACCTGGCCACAGCTCAATATGTGATGCTACCTGGCCATACAGCTCAATTGTGTGATACCAGCCTCAGCTCATATGTGATGCTACCTACCAGCCATGGCTTAATATGTGATGCTACCTGGCCATACAGCTTAATATGTGATGCTACATGGCCATACAGCTTAATATGTGATGCTACCTGGCCATACAGCTCAATATGTGATGCTACCTGGCCATACAGCTTAATATGTGATGCTACCTAGCCATACAGCTTAATATGTGATGCTACCTGGCCATACAGCTTAATATGTGATGCTACATGGCCATACAGCTTAATATGTGATGCTACCTGGCCATACAGCTCAATATGTGATGCTACCTGGCCATACAGCTTAATATGTGATGCTACCTAGCCATACAGCTTAATATGTGATGCTACCTGGCCATACAGCTTAATATGTGATGCTACCTGGCCATACAGCTTAATATGTGATGCTACCTGGCCATACAGCTTAATATGTGATGCTACCTGGCCATACAGCTTAGTATGTGATGCTACCTGGCCATACAGCTCAATATCCTCCCTTTCTTCTTTCTTGCCACGCAATCAATAAACACTTTCTTATTTATATCGGAGCTGTCCCCAAACACTAGTCTGGTGCACACACACACACACACACACACACACACACACACACACACACACACACACACACACACACACACACACACACCCACACCCACACCCACACACTTACCTAACAACAAATCATAAACATTAACTCTATGATTGACACGATGCTGTAAACCCAGATAAACCAAAGTCCGTGCCGCGTGATGCTTAACATAGCGAGCATGTCTGGTGGAGTGATTAGTGTAGAACCATTCATCGGAAGGCAAGATGAGCTGGGTAAGGGCGTCAGGTATCTTAGCAGCTAGGAGAGCCTGGTGGTAGTGCGGGTTGAGTCCTAATGTTGCCACCACTTGTAGTACTGAACATAAGAGTTGCTGTGGAAAGAGAGAGAGAGGTGGTTAAGGTTAGGTTACCCTCCAATACCTCCTGAGCCTTCATTACCTCCTCACCCTCCATTACCTCCTGACCCTTCATTACCTCCTCACCCTCCAATACCTCCTGACCCTTCATTACCTCCTCACCCTCCAATACCTCCTGACCCTTCATTACCTCCTGACCCTTCATTACCTGACCTCAATACCTCCCTGACCCTCCAATACCTCCTGACCCTCCAATACCTCCTGACCCTCCAATACCTCCTGACCCTCCAATACCTCCTGACCCTCCAATACCTCCTGACCCTCCAATACCTCCTCACCCTCCAATACCTCCTCACCCTCCAATACCTCCTCACCCTCCAATACCTCCTCACCCTCCAATACCTCCAAGATAGATCATTACTAAAAATGTATCACAAAAGTTAAGGGCTACTGATTTAGACTCTAACAATGCCAACTACATCGGCGGTGATGTATCGACCAGCCTTCTCCTTAATGACCAAACATACGTCTTCCTGTCTGGTTAGGTTAGGTTAGGTGGTGGTATGTTGGGCGTTGTATGTTGGTGGTTGTATGTTGATGGTTGTATGTTGAATGTTGGTGGCTTTATATCATGTTAATGCTCGTATATCTAGAGAGAATCTAAACTGATAAACAACTGTGAGGTGGAAGATAGGAATTGATATCGAATTACCTGAAGAATAGACACCATCAGTTTATTTCACCTGAAGGTTACCTACAGGGTGAGGTGTAGGTTTTAGCGTTAGAGTGGTCACTGGTCAGGCTAGGCTAGGTTAGGTTAGGTCAGGTTAGGTTAGGTTAGGTTATAATAACTGCCTTTAATAAGTACAGTATATACTCTTGGTACAGTCCGCTTCACTAGTGTGTTTACAGGGATCGTTATATAGCCTAGGTACAGGGTGACGAGCCCCTGTAAACGCACAAGTGAAGGGGACTGTACCTAGGCTATATGACGAGCCCCTGTAAACACACTAGTGAAGGGGAGTGTTCCTAGGCTATATGACGAGCCCCTGTAAACGCACAAGTGAAGGGGACTGTACCTAGGCTATATGACGAGCCCCTGTAAATGCAGAAGTGAAGGGGACTGTACCTAGGCTATATGACGAGCCCCTGCCCCTATATGACGAGCCCCTGGCACTAGTGAAGGGGTACCTAGGCTATATGAGAGACCCCTAGGCGAAACACACTAGTGAAGGGGACTGTACCTAGGCTATATGACGAGCCCCTGTAAACACACTAGTGAAGGGGACTGTACCTAGGCTATATGACGAGCCCCTGTAAACACACTAGTGAAGGGGACTGTACCTAGGCTATATGATGAGCCCCTGTAAACGCAAGTGAAGGGGACTGTACCTAGGCTATATGACGAGCCCCTGTAAACACACAAGTGAAGGGGACTGTACCTAGGCTATATGACGAGCCCCTGTAAACACACTAGTGAAGGGGACTGTAGGCTATATGGAGCCTCCCCTGTGAACACACTAGTGAAGGGGACTGTACCTAGGCTATATGACGAGCCCCTGTAAACACACTAGTGAAGGGGACTGTACCTAGGCTATATGACGAGCCCCTGTAAACACACTAGTGAAGGGGACTGTACCTAGGCTATATGACGAGCCCCAGTAAATGCAGAAGTGAAGGGGACTAGTACATTATCTTCACGCCAACCTTTACTGACAGTGACTAGAAACCCAGATATTCCTGTTAACCCATTACCACCAGAACCATAGATTATGAACCAATTAACGAAATATATCATCCCCATTACCTATTAAAAAATTCCTGATACTCTCCCCTTAACCCATTACCACCAGAATTGTATCCATCAACCCATTATTTCCCCCATTAACTCCTGACATATTTCTATCATCCAATTAACATCAATTTCCACCAATTAATACCCAAAACCCATTAACCAAGTTCACCAAAAATCACCATTTAAACCATTAACCATTACTCCAACTGTGACCAAATTTGACCTGACGAGAGTAAATGGATTAGCACTGTATTGGCCCAATGTTGAGAGAGATAAATGACTGTTTTAGGAGAGTCAATCAATTTAGGTAAAATATTGGTATTTGTCAAGTAAAACCTCCATTTAACGAACTATTATGGAAGGGAAGTCCGTTATATCGAGGTTCCATTACATACAGGTCTACAGGCAGGTCCCACTAGTTCAAGGCTACTAGGGTCTAGTTGCAGATATACAGTTGCTAATGTTTATGGTTTACAGTTAAATAGCCTGGCTAACTTTGTAGAAGTCCCGGCTGTATAGACTACCAGGCTATTTCAACCGTCTATGGGTGAATAGCTACAGCTTAATAATTATACAACAACAAAACGATAATAATAATAATAATAATAATAATAATAATAATAATAATAATAATAATAATAATAATAATAATAATAATAATAATAATAATAATAATAATAATAATAATAATAATCTTTGCCAATAAAATTACTATTAAAAAATTCACCACCAAAAAACAGCATCTGGCAACTTTCGATTGAGTTGCCAGTGTTATTAATATACACCAGCAGAGGCACCAGGTCGAGACTCCCTATCAGTCATTCCATCATAACAGAACCTTGATAATGAGATAGAGCCCATCTCTCTCCCTCAGCCTCCCTTATTGACGTCAGACCCTACCTACCAACCCTTACCCTCCGTCCTTACCTCCTCCCTACCCCATCCATACAAAAAATAATGAAATATTATCATTCTACCTCCCCCCTTCCTTCCTTAGATGAGTTTCCGCCATTTTTGGTGTATTATGGGACGATGAGAAAGTTCCAGAAGATCCAGCAGTGGTTCCGGGGGATATATTCTCGACTATAATATAATTTGATAGGTTTTGGTATGACTTATTAAGGGTGTCACCTTCGTTGGTGAGTTTTAAGGTGACTAGAGAGGCCAATACGGGACCGGCAGGGTGCATCACAGATGTTGCACCTGTGGGGGGCTACATCTAGTGCGGGAGGGGCGGCTGCAGAGTCTTTCCGGCGCTGGCGCTTGTCTGCCTCGGTATACAGTTGGGCCAACTCGAAAGTATTGACACCTCCTCGTGTGGTGCTCCTCCAAGCGTTACGGTGTGCAGTAATCGTCTCCCAGGTGAGGGGGTCCATTTGGCACCTTTTCAGGTTTGTCTTAAGACTATCCTTATACCTTTTCAGTTGGCCGCCAGCGTTACGTTTACTATTCATTAGGTGACCGTAAAGTAGCTGCTTTGGCAGTCTACTGTCGTCCATGTGGGTAACATGGCCAGTCCAGCGTAGTTGTTCATGGATAATGGTAGCCTCGATGCTCCTACAGTTGGTGTCAGCAAGAATACTGGCATTTGTTCTCTTGTCTTCCCGGCGAACTCGGAGGATGGAACGTAGACTACGTTGGTGAAAGTTTTCAAGTGCCTTCAGGTGCCTCCTGTATGTGACCCGTGTCTTGCTGCCATATAGCAGGGTGGGGAGGACCACTGCTCGATATACATGAAACTTTGTAGATAATTTCAGCTCCCTACAGCTGAAGACACGGTTTCAGAGTCTGCCAAAGGCTTGAGATGCACACCTGATCCGAAGGTGAATCTCTTCATCGATGTCTGCGGTGGTGGACAGGTGGGAGCCGAGATACTGAAAGTGGGCAACATTAGAGAGGGTAGTACCGTTAAGCTGGATGGATGGTGGAGGTGTGGCTGAACCAGGGGCAGGTTGCAAGAGAATCTGAGTCTTATGTACATTCACCTCAAGGCCGAGGTGTGCATATGCATCTGCATAAGAATTCAGGATCTCCTGTAGGTTGTGTTCAGTGTGAGAGACAAGGGTGAGGTTGTCTCCATACTGAAGTTCATTAATGGAAGCTGCCGACACCTTTATTCCTGCCTGGAGTCGTCTTGATGTCCACCCCGCCGGCTAAATTGGCACTGGCACGAGTAAGGAAGGCAACCAAAAAAATGGAAAAGAGAGTTGGTGCCAGTACACACCCTTGTTTAAGCCCTCTTTGGATGGGGAAGAACTCTGACTGGGTGACATTGTGCAGGACACTACCATTCATGCCATCATGAGTTGCCTCAAAATGGCGATGAATTTTGGTGGGCAGCCAAAGCGGCTGAGGGTCCACCAGAGGGCTTCCCTGTTGACCCAGTTGAAGGCCTTGGTTAGGTCGATGAAGGCCATGTACAGGTCACGACGCTGTTCTCTGCACTTTTCCTGTATCTGGCGGGCAGCAAAGATCATGTCATTGGTGCCACGTGATGGTCTAAGGCCACATTGTGATTGTGGGAGGAAGTTTTCCGCCTCAGGAAGAAGTCTGTTTAGGAGGACTAGGGCGATAATCTTGCCAGCTACAGAGAGCAGCGAGATCCCACGGTAGTTGCCACAGTCTGACCGGTCTTCCTTGTTCTTATAAATATTGACAATGGAGGCGTCTTTAAGAGCTTGGGGGATTTCCTCCTTTTCCCATATATTCTCCAGGAGAGAGTGGAGACGGCTGGTAAGCAGAGGTCCTCCTGCTTTATTCACCTCGGCTGGGATTCCATCAGGCCCTGAGGCATTGTTATTTTTCATCTGTTTGATGGCAGTAGCTACCTCATGCAGGGATGGAGGATAGTTGAAGTGGGTCAGCTCTGGATGCTGAGAGACCTGCTGGGTAGTCAGGACATCCACATCGGTGTTTCAGTTGAGCAGTGAATGGTAGTGCTCTTTCCAGTGCTGAAGGAGGCCTTCAAAGTTTTTAAATATGGAGTTACCGTCAGATGAGCGGAGGGGGGCTGCACCACGAGTGAGTGGCCAATTAAATGTTTTAGTGGAATTGAAAGATTCGCACGTCTTTTGTTGATATGTAAATTTTTGTGTTTCACATGCTTTATTTTTAAGCCAATTGTTCTTTAGTTTGCAAAATTCCCACTGGGCCACTACTTTCTTCTTACCAAAGATATCAGCTTTGGTGTGAGACTGAGGGTTGTTCTGCCAGTCAGGTAAAGCAGCACGTTCATCATCGACGAGTACATTCATTGACGGGCCATTTTCATCAAACCAGTCCTGGTGTATTCCTTCGATGTGGCCGAGGTTCTCTACAGGTTTTTGTCATGACAGTGTCAAGAATACTCCATTCGTCACTGGGATTTGGGTTGTTTGTTGTTGGGTTGTTCATCAGCCCATGTTCGAGCTGCTCTCTGAAATCATGTGCTACCACTGGATCCTCCAGACGCTTAGTGTTAATACCTTTTCTGGAGGCTTGCTGCCTTCGCCGTTTTGAGGTGAAGTGAAGTGATATCTTGGCCGTGATAAATGATGATCAGTGTCACAGTGGTCTGGGCCATGCATGGCAAGGGTGATAAGGACATCTCGGCGATCTCTTTCTCTGAGAATAACGTAGTCAATAAGATGCCAATGTTTGGATCGTGGGTGTTGCCACGAACCCTTGAACTTGTCGGCCTTCCTAAACTAGTTATTGGTGATAGTGAGTTAAATAATATATACACTTGCCTAGTCCATTTCTCCTTCGGTTCCTGCCTAATGTTAGCATATCTGCCAACTCTGGCATTGAGCAACTGTCTTCTGGGGATAGAGGTTAGCACTCTGAGGCTTCCTGTCCTCTGCATTCAGTGTTGAGGCGTATGCACTGATGAAGAAGGCATGACGTGAGTGATTCCAGGACTCGAAGCGTCAGGGGAGCTCATTGATCGCAATAGGCATTTCAGTTAGCCTGTGTATGATATTGGTGGATGGCAAAGCCAACTCCATAAATGCTGTTTCTCTCCACAGCAGGCTTACCCTTCCAGTAGAAGGTGTAGCCAGACCCTCGTTCTAGGAGCCGGGACTCACTAATGGCTGCTATGTCGATGTTATACCTAGCCAGTTCTTTTGCCACAAGGGCAGATCTTCTTTCAGGACGCTCATTTGTGCCAGTATCCAGAAGGGTCCTCACAGTCCATGCAGCGACCACAAGAGGTTGTATGGTTTGTTTTTGTTTGGATCTGTGATTTTGGTTGTGTTGTCGACCACATAAGGATGACCTTACTGGGTGCGGTTGCCCAGTCAGGTTGGTTCTTTAGGCAGGTTATGTTTAGGGCACCTTTTCTAGCCCCTCCCCATGTGGGGTGAGCAGAGTGGCTCCTCGTAAGGGCTGCTCAGTCGCACAGGCAGGACTGGGTTGCACTGCTGCCTAGATCCCAGTGCATAAACGACCATCTTATCTGTGCCGCCCATGTGCAGAGTTGTGACTAGAGACTCCCGGCAGTCATCTCTGCCTGTCCCCGTCGCCACTCGTCCGTCGCCATGGGACTTATGGGGGTATAGGGGTTTTGATGATGATGAGAGGTATGATGAGCCGGATGATGGCTGTGTGTGAGTTGATTTATGTGGTGAGGCAGGAGCACACACACACACACACACACACACACACACACACACACAGTATACAAAGTAACAGTAAAATGCATTGTGTGTGTGTGTGTGTAAATTACCTTGAGAAAATACATAATATTCATAATATACATAAAAATACACCAATAAAACCCACATATTCTTCATTAGGCCCAAAACAACAATATGAGTAGGTTGAATTTGGGAGCTCACCGGGTCATGTGTGGTGTCGAGGGCGGCAACCAATGAGCGAAGTCTATTCTCCTCTACGAGTTGTGATTGGATGGCCGGGCAGTGAGTCATAAACAACAGAACACGAGAACTTAATATCTGGAGACAGTGAGAGCGACACTGGCGGAGTCTGTGAGAGAAGATGTTACTTTATGTTACTTTATGTTACTTGACTGTACATATACACACTTTATGTTACTTAACTGTAGTTCAATTTTATATCCACCTCTCTCTCTCACACATCTTGCCTCTCCCACACACTCAGCGTTACACAATAACTAATATCACAAGTTTACATATGACAAGTTTTCATCTCAGCTGTTTGGTCTTGGTCAACAACGGCACAACATCTGAGGATTAGCCCCCTAACCTAACCTAACCTAACCTAACCTGACCTGACCTGATCTGACCTGACCTGACCTGACCTGACCTGACCTGACCTAACCTAATCTTGTAGCTTAATTCTCACCTAATCTAACCTGCCTTAACTTTCACCTGACCTAACCTAACCCCTTATTCCTGTAACAGATGCACAAAGTATATATTACAGCAAGAAACACCTGTAATAAACACCTGCACAGTAACAACAACAGGTGCTAAAGGTCAATGACAGATGTTAATCATGTTATGCTGCAACGGGTTGCATGTACAGCTGTGAGACATTAAGTAGTGTATATACTGTAATTACACACACCTGTACAATGACACAACACCTGTACACTAACAACATCTGTACACTAACACAACACCTGTACACTAACACATCACCTGTACACTGACACATCACCTGTACACTAACACAACACCTGTACACTAACACAACACCTGTAACTGACACAACACCTGTACACTGACACAACATCTGTACACTGACACAACACCTGTACACTGACACAACACCTGTACACTGACACAACACCTGTACACTGACACAACACCTGTACACTGACACAACACCTGTACACTGACACAACACCTGTACACTAACACAACACCTGTACACTGACACAACACCTGTACACTGACACAACACCTGTACACTGACACAACACCTGTACACTGACACAACACCTGTACACTGACACAACACCTGTACACTGACACAACACCTGTACACTGACACAACACCTGTACACTGACCTCTGACTGGGTTGGCACTGCTGTTTGGCCCCCACCGTCCGCTTGTGTAAGGTGATGGCATTGTGCATAACATTCAAGATAGACACAGCTGTTATGTTGGCCAGGGTCCCTGTAAGAGAGGGTACTGCAGTAAACAATGGTGAAGTAAACAACACTTCTGTAAACAATGGTGAAGTAAACAACACTTCTGTAAACAATGGTGAAGTAAACAACACGCCAGTAAACAATGGTGAAGTAAACAACACTTCTGTAAACAATGGTGAAGTAAACAACACTTCTGTAAACAATGGTGACAACAAAGAACGACGTAGGAACATCAATACTAACAGAGTTAAATAAGACAATAAAACCATAAATGATGTGACCTGGAGGAAATATGTGACCTGGAGGGCATATGTGACCTGGAGGAACTACTGTATGTGACCTGGAGGAACTATGTGACCTGGGGGGCCATGTGACCTGGACGGCCCATGTGACCTGGAGGGCATATGTGATCTAGAAGGCCTATGTGGCCTGGGAGCCTATGTAACCTGGGGCCTATGTGACCTGTGGGTCTATGTGACCTGGAGGCCATGTGTTCTAGAGGACCGATGTGACCTGGAGGCCATCCTCCATTCTTCCCTGCACTCCTCTCTTCCATCTATTTTTCCTCTCTTCCTCCTTCCCACCATCCCTCTCTTTCTACCCTCCCTCCCGCCATCCCTCCCGCCATCCTTCCTTCCCACCAACTCTTCCTCCTCTCACCATCTCTCCCACCCTCCCTCCTTCCCATTACCAGGTCACCTCAACATACTCTGATTCTCCTCTGTATAAAAATAGGAATCAATTTACCTTAGTGAGAGACACATGAATCATTCCCTGTCCATCACCTGTCGAATATGGCGGCCGCAATTTGGCAGAAACCACACGTTCAAGGGCATGGTGTGTTCTGATTGGTTTTCACTTGTTCTAACGTGTTTTGGTATCAATTTCAGTCCTTGGGTTGGGTTGGGTTGGGTTCAGGCAGGTCATGCAACCACTATTTACTCTACGCGGGTGTAGCGAGATTAAAAAACAGAAGTCTATTATTATGCGTCTATTTTTACTCTGGTATTTCAACATATCTGTGTGAGTGTGTGTGTGTGTGTTTTACTTTGCATTTTTATTCTATCCCAAAAAGTTATTAAACAAACTCTTAAAAAAACGTGGAAATATATGTCCGGGCAAATTGAACTTTATATCAAATGGAAGTAAATTTCAGGTGTGTCCGTGTGTGAGTCCGACCTGACTGGGTAACCGCACCCAGTAAGGTCAGCCTTATGCGGTCGAAAACACAATCATAAGAACAGATCCAAACAAAAACATGGAATGTCAGGACCCTTCTGGATACTGGCACAAATGAGCGTCCTGAAAGAAGAACTGGCCTTGTGGTAAACGAGCTGACTAGGTATAACATCGACATAGCAGCCATCAATGAGTTCCGGCTCCCAGACGAGGGCCAACTCACAGAACAGGGTCAGGCTATACCTTCTACTGGAAGGGTAAGCCTGCTGCAGAGAGAAACAGCATTTATGGAGTTGGCTTTGCCATCCGCCAACGCATCATACACAGGCTAACTGAAATGCCTATTGGGATCAATGAGCTCCCCTGACGCTTCGAGTCCCACTGAAGCACTCACGTCATGCCTTCTTCATCAGTGCGTACACCCCAACACTGGATGCAGAGGATGACATCAAGGAGGCCTTTTATGCTGACCTCGACAGAGTGCTAACCTCTATCCCCAGAAAAGACAAGGTTGTGCTCCTTGGTGACTTCAATGCCAGAGTTGGCAGAGATGCTGACATTTGGCAGTGAACCGTAGGGAGAAATGGACTAGGCAAGTGTAATGCCAACGGCCTACTCCTCCTCAGCAAGTGTGCTGCTGACAACCTCACTATCACCAATACCTTGTTTAGGCAGGCTGACAAGTTCAAAGGATTGTGGCAACACCCACGATCCAAACACTGGCATCTCATTGACAACATCACTGTCAGAGAAAGAGATCGCCGAGATGTCCTCATCACCCGAGCCAGGCCACTGTGACATTGATCATGGACTCGTCAGAGCCAAGCTCTCACTTCACGTCGCCCCAAAACGGCGAAGGCAACAAGCCTCCATAAGAGGTTTTAACACTAAGCGTCTGGATGATCCAGCGGTAGCACATGATTTCAGAGAGCAGCGCGAACATGGGCTGATAAACAACCCGACAACAAACAACCCAAATCCCAGTGACGAATGGGATATTCTCGACACTGTCATGACAAAAACCTGTAGAGACCCTCGGCCACATCGAAGGAATACACCAGGACTGGTTTGATGAAAATGACCCGTCAATGAATGTTCTCGTCGATGATAAACGTGCCCCCCTCCGCTCATCAGACGGTAACCATATAATTAAAGATGATGAAGGCCTACTTCAGCGCTGGAAAGAGCACTACCATTCACTCCTCAACTGAAACACTGCTGTGGATGTCCTGACTACCCAGCAGGTCTCTCAGCATCCAGAGCTGACCCACCTCAGCTATCCTCCATCCCTGGATGAGGTAGCTACTGCCATCAAACAGATGAAAAATAGCAAAGCCTCGGGGCCTGAAGGAATCCCAGCCGAGGTGTATAAAGCAGGAGGACCTCTGCTTACCAGCCGTCTCCACTCTCTCCTGGAGAATATGTGGGAAAAGGAGGAAATCCCCCAAGCTCTTAAAGACGCCTCCATTGTCAATATTTATAAGAACAAGGGAGACCGGTCAGACTTTGGCAACTACCATGGGATCTCGCAAGATTATCACCCGAGTCCTCCTAAACAGACTTTTTCCTGAGGCGGAAAACTTTCTCCCAGAATCTCAATGTGGTTTTAGACCATCACGTGGCACCACTGACATGATCTTTGCTGCCCGCCAGATACAGGAAAAGTGCAGAGAACAGCGTCATGACCTGTACATGGCTTTCATCACCCTAACCAAGGCCTTCGACTCGGTCAACAGGGAAGCCCTCTGGTGGACCCTCAGCCATTTTGACTGCCCACCAAAATTCATCGCCATTGTGAGGCAACTCCATAATGGCATGAACGGCAGTGTCCTGCACAATGGCACCCAGTCAGAGTTTCCCCATCCAAACAGCGGTTAAACAAGGGTGTGTACTGGCACCAACTCTCTTTTCCATTTTCTTGGCTGCCTTTCTTACTCGTGCCAGTGCCAATTTAGCCAACGGGGTGAACATCGAGTACCGGATGAAAGGTCTTTTCAACATAAGACAACTCCAGGCAGGAACAAAGATGTCGGCAGTTTACATTACTGAATTTCAGTATGCAGACGACCTCACTCTTGTTGCTCACTCTGAACACGACCTACAGGAGATCCTGAACACCTATGCAGATGCGTATGCACACGTCGGCCTTTAGGTGAATGTACAGTACGTAAGACTCAGATTCTCCTTCAACTTGCCCCTGGTTCAGCCACACCTCCACCTTCCATTCAGCTTAACGGTACTACCCTCTCTAATGTTACCCACTTTCAGTATCTCGGCTCCCACCTGTCCACCACCGGGGACATCGATGAAGAGATTCAGCATCGGATCAGATGTGCATCTCAAACTTTTGGCAGACTCCATACCCGTGTATTCAGCTGTAGGGAGCTGAAATTATCTACAAAGTTGCATGCATATCGAGCAGTGGTCCTCCCCACCCTGCTATATGGCAGCGAGACATGGGTCACATACAGGAGGCACCTCAAGGCACTTTAAAACTTTCACCAACGTAGTCTACGTTCCATCCTCCGAGTTCGCTGGGAAGACAAGAGAACAAATGCCAGTATTCTCGCTGACACCAACTGTAGGAGCATCGAGGCTACCATTATCCATGAACAACTGCGCTGGACTGGCCATGTTACCCGCATGGACGACAGTAGACTGCCAAAGCAGCTACTTTACAGTCACCTAACGAATAGTAAACGTAACGCTGGCGGGCAACTGAAAAGGTATAAGGATAGTCTTAAGACAAACCTGAAAAGGTGCCAAATGGACCCCCTCACCTGGGAGACGATTACTGCACACCGTAACACTTGGAGGAGCACCACACGAGAAGGTGTCAATACTTTCGAGTTAGCCCGACTGTATACCGAGGCAGACAAGCGCCAACGCCGGAAAGATGCTGCCGCCGCCCCTCCCGCACTAGCTGTAGCCCCCCACACGTGCAACACCTGTGGACGACTCTGCCGGTCCCGTATCGGCCTCTTTAGTCACATGAAACTCACCAATGAAGGTGACATCCTTAAAAACTCATATCATTGTATCATAGCTGCATGATCGTCAGCCTCGATTCAGAGACACAGCAAAGTAGTAGTAGTAGTAGTGTGTGTGGGAGGGGGGGGGGTGTTAACGTATCATAACATCAACTTAACTTAACCTACCCAAACCTAACGTATTAATACTAATAATACTAATAATAAAAATAATAATAACCTTACACTTACCAATAATAAACATTGTGTTTTGCTGAAGTAACATGACCTCCTATTTATCATTAGAGTAAATAAGTAACATTAAGTAACACAAGGAACACTTACCGATAATGGATGTTGTGTGTTGTCCCTTATCACCCTCAACATCTTCCTTGGCTGAATGTTGTCGCCACATTAACATCCACTGACCGTAATGCCCGACAGTACCACGGCCCGGGATAGAGTCAGGGGTACCAACAGAACTGGGGGTACCATCGCCACTAACAATACTCTCCGTCTTGCTGGCCTGACGAGCAAGTCGGCCACCGTATGTATGGAACAGTGGAAGCTGGATCTTGGCTTTCCTATGGAGGCAGAACGTCAAAGTTTAAGGAATTTTTATATTTTCATGTTAAAAGTTTGTGGCAAAATATATAAAGTATAAAAACAGTACAGGTATATTCCAAGAGGTGAACAACACCAACACCAAGAGAAGCCTAAACTTGTATATGTCTGTGAATGTATAATATAAACTGAATCAAATTAACAACAACGTTTAACAATTACAGAAAACATTATAAAAAAAAACATATTCCCAATTTAAACATTAATAGTTATACGTAAACCGATATAAATAATAATGTTTAGGTTAGTTATACCAGAGACATTAGAGTATAGAAAACGTACACCCTCTAGGGAATCAATATGCATGGGAGACTAACATATTTGGTCAACTCTGTGTCGTGGCCTTGTATAGTGTGTTTCATTACTTACACTGTATTGAAATGGAGTTACACTGATGCATAAACAAATGGTAGAGATATTAATGGGTAAAAATGAAGGTAGGATGGCCAGGTAGGAGGGCCCACGGTGGCAGGGAAATGGCTCAGTAAATCTGCCAGGGTGGGGAAAATAATCTGGGAATTAGACTGTGGGGGAAATTAGCCTGTGGGGAAAATTAGCCTGTGTGGGGAAATCATCTTTGGACAAGGAAATTCATCCACCAGGAAATTGGGGAAGTCAGGCATATCAATGAATGAGACAGCTCAAGAAACAGACCTTAACAAAAAAAAAAAAATAAGTTCCATCCATTATCAAAATAATAATAATATTCCAACACACACACACACCCACACACACACACACACACACACACACACACACACACACACACACACACACACACACACACACACACACACTAATAACTCAACCACTACCAAATCATTTTATTTTTTTCGGTCAGATTTTCACTTAAATAACCAGGTATAAAATAATTACAGCTGAGTAATTAAGCTTAAAATGACACAACTCTCTAAAAGGTGAGTTATTCAACCCGGAAAAATGGCTGGAAAAATGTGAAAGGAATTTGTATATTTAGTAAAGTTTATATTGTAGGCGTGAGATATTTAACTGACAGATGTATACACCTGAAGGTCATATAACTGACAGATGTATACACCTGAAGGTCATATATACTGATAGATGTATACACCTGTAGGTCATATATACTGATAGATGTATACACCTGAAGGTCATATAACTGACAGATGTATACACCTGAAGGTCATATATACTGACAGATGTATACACCTGTAGGTCATATATACTGATAGATGTATACACCTGTAGGTCATATATACTGACAGATGTATACACCTGAAGGTCATATATACTGATAGATGTATACACCTGAAGGTCATATATACTGACAGATGTATACACCTGTAGGTCATATATACTGATAGATGTATACACCTGTAGGTCATATATACTGATAGATGTATACACCTGTAGGTCATATAACTGATAGATGTATACACTCTGAAAGGTCATATAACTGACACAGATGTATACAATTCAATATGATAAATTATGATGTATATACCTAGGTCATATAACTGATAGATGTATACACCTAGTCATATATACTGACAGATGTATACACCTGAAGGTCATATATACTGATAGATGTATACACCTGTAGGTCATATATACTGACAGATGTATACACCTGAAGGTCATATATACTGATAGATGTATACACCTGTAGGTCATATAACTGATAGATGTATACACCTGTAGGTCATATAACTGACAGATGTATACACCTGAAGGTCATATATACTGATAGATGTATACACCTGTAGGTCATATAACTGACAGATGTATACACCTGTAGGTCATATAACTGATAGATGTATACACCTGTAGGTCATATAACTGATAGATGTATACACCTGTAGGTCATATATACTGACAGATGTATACACCTGTAGGTCATATAACACAGATGTATACACCTGAAGGTCATATATACTGGATAGATGTATACACCTGAAGGTCAGTATATATACTATTGATAGATGTATACACCTGTAGGTCATATATACTGATAGATGTATACACCTGTAGGTCATATACTGACAGAGATGTATACACCTGAAGGTCATATATACTGACAGATGTATACACCTGTAGGTCATATATACGACAGATGTATACACTGAAGGCTTATATATCGATAGGATGTATACACCTGTAGGTCATATATAATGATAGATGTATACACCTGTAGGTCATATATACTGACAGATATACACCTGAAGGTCATATAACTGATAGATGTATACACTGTAGGTCATATAACTGATAGATGTATACACTCTGTAGGTCATATAACGATAGATGTATACACTCTGTAGATTGATAAAATGGGAGAAGGAAAGAGGGGAGGAGGAGAGAGAGGAGAGAGAGAGAGAGAGAGAGAGAGAGAGAGAGAGAGAGAGAGAGAGAGAGAGAGAGAGAGAGCACTCTGTTATTTTCCTCTTCCCCGGTGCGTTTCCCCAAACCTTTCTCCCTCTTCATCCCCCCTTCCCCCCACTCCCTCCCCTTCCCCCCACCTCCCCTTCCCCCACCCTCCTTCCCCCCCACCTCCTCCCCTCTGCACCCTCCTCCCCCACCCTCCCCCACCCCCTTCCCCCCACCTCCTCCCCCACCCTCCCCCTTCCCCCACCTCCCCCCTTCCCCTCTACCCCCCTCTACTCCCCCTGAGAGGATTATGAGAGAAACTCTTCTTACTCAGGTATTCATGACTTTCTGTACACACACATCCACCCCTCACCCCCCCACACACACACACAGGTTAGGGGTTAGGTTAGTTAGGCCAGGTCATGTTAGGTCAGGTCAGGTCAGGTCAGGTCATGTTAGGTCATGTTAGGTCAGGTCAGGTTTTCTCTAGTTAGGTATCAAGTTTGGGCGGCCTTGGTACTACATAGTCTACCCTCTCCCAGTACAGATCACAGTAGGGGAAGCTGGGAAACTCACCTGTTAGTACCGGGAGGCAGGAGGACTCACCTGCCAGTACCGGGAGGCAGTAGGACTCACCTGTCAGTACCGGGAGGCAGTGTGACTCACCTGTCAGTACCAGGAGGCAGTAGGACCCACCCACCAGTACCGGGAGGCAGTAAGACTCACCTGTCAGTACCGGGAGGCAGTAGGTGTTCCTCAGGGTCAATCACCAGGTCCCCAATACGGTGCACCACGGCAGCGTCAATGATCTTGTTAAGCGTCGTCATGGCTGTGAACTGAAGCTCCTGTACACCCGCAAGCAGCGCCGAACACAACCGCACCAGAAGACAAACCGCAGCCGCAGCTTCACGTCGGCCGCTGCTCGAACCCACAAGAGATGAAGGTGCAGCTGGGACACTTCCGCCAACGCCTGCGGCTCCGTCCGTACTGCCTGCACCTTCGTTACTGCTGTTGCTGGCGTTGCTACTGCCACACAGTACCTCCAGGATGTTCTGTGTGAGAGAGAGATACTGGTGGTTAATGAACATAAGAACATAAGAATGGAGGAAACAGCAGCGGGTCTATACTGGTCAGTCCCGTTTACACCCAACCCCTATCGCTCATATATCCATCCAGCCTCTGTTTAAAGCTATCCAGCGTATTAGAGTTAATGATGATGTTTGGTAACTTGTTCCACTCATCCACTACTCTGTTTCCAAACCAGTGTTTACCTATCTCGCGCCTAAATCTAAATTGGTCTAATTTAAAACCATTGTTACGAGTTCGCTCCTGGTTGGATAGTTTGAGTACCTTTGTAATGTCCCCTTTGTTTAGCCCTGACTTCCATTTATACACCTCTATCATATCGCCCCTCACTCTACGTCTCTCGAGGGAGTGCAAATTAAGATGCTTTAACCTGTCTCTGTACTCAAGGTTCCTAATGCCCGGGATTAGTCTTGTCATTCTCCTCTGAATTCTTTCCAAGGATTCTATATCCATTCTGTAGTACGGTGACCAGAACTGAACTGCGTAATCCAAGTGAGGTCTAACAAGGGCAAGATATAGTTTAGGATGACCTCGCTAGTCTTGTAACTAACTCTCCTTTGTATGAACCCAAGTACTTTATTAGCCTTGTTTCGAGCAAATACACATTGTTTACTTGGCTTAAGATTCCTACTTATCATTACTCCAAAATCTTTCTCGCAGTCGGATTTCTCTATAACATCGTTGTTCATCTGGTTTCTGGTTTCCCTGTTTACATCTCCTATACTAAGTACTTTACATTGAATTTCATCTGCCATTTTTCAGACAATTCGATTTTTTTTACACCTTCCTGTAGTTTTGCGGAGTCCTCGTCCGATTTAATAACACGTCCTATTTAAGTGTCATCAGAAAATTTACTTATGTTGCTGTCTACGCCGATATCTATATTGTTTATGTATATAATAAATAATAATGGTCCTAGTACTGAGCCTTGGGGAACAGACAGACCGACAGACAGGCAACCAGCACTGACAGACCGCCAAACAGACAGGCAGACAGACAGCACTGACCGCCCTACTCACGTGATCCAGCTTCGACAGGTGAGCATTAATGTCTCAGGTAAATAATTAATAAGGCTCACCTGAAGATTAGGCCTCAAGCTTATTCCACCTGAGGACTAGGTAAGGTTACATTAGGTTAATTATAAGGTAAAATAAACTGTCTAAGTTTGTCTGTCTGTGCCTTGTGTTCGTTTGTACTGGTTTAATAGAGTTTTTGACGGAAAATACAGAGCATCGTGAAATAATAATACTAATAACAACACTAGCAGTAATTATTCCATACCTCCAGCTGACCATAACCCCACATCGGCGTTTGAGTGACAACATGACAGAATAATCAATCCAGCTGAATCCTGAGTGTGTGTTCCCGTGCCGACCTAACTAACTGCGCGGGTCGGGGGGTTTTCTCATAACACCCGCTAGTAATAGGTCAATTTAGAGTTAATCTGCTTTAAATATTCCCGTAAAAACATGGCGTATTAGCATTTAATTATCTAGCAATCAGGTTAACAGATTTTAGCCGATTTACGTGTTTTAAGTGAATCTCTCTGAATCCGCCATAGTTACAGAACAAAAACTCCAAGAAATTTTTAAATCACAAATAGACTTTTTATGAGCCACGACACGAAAACAAATGAATTAATGAAGTGAATTTGTAAGGATTCATATTAAAATGTGTTATGAATATCAGCCATCGACACTCACAGCGTCAAAAAGAAAAAAAATGAAAAATAAGATCATGCGCCCGACACCACCGCCATGGCAGCGAGGAAGATCTTTAGAGAGACTTTCTAGATTCCTCGTAACTGAACTAGGGACGTATTGTAGTGGCTCCTCTCCCCTACAACCCCCACCTGAGCTCCGGCCACGCGCCTACCAGCCAATCAGCGTACAGCATGATCATCAGGAAATACTAGTGACAGGGGGGAAGGAGGTTCAGGGGAAGGAGGTTCAGGGGAAGGAGGTTCAGGGGAAGAATAAAGGGAGGATTGAAGTGAATTTTAGGAGGAGAGAATAGGTGCAGTGGCTAAACACCGCTTGCGTGAGGGGGTACAAGTTGGAGGCAGCAGCAACTCGCCCGGACGCGGCTAGGAGGCGGCAGAACAGAGTCAGGTTAGCGTCAGGTACTTCTCACTTATGATGATTATTCACCTAAGCAACTCTCAGGTTTGTAATCAACGTGGCTCCATATATACACTCAGAGCAGACACACACACACACACACTCACATGTTGATTACAATACTCTCTCCTCCTTGTTCGGCCCCTGGGAGGTATTGAAGATATATAGGAAATAGTCAGCCTCTCTCTCTTTCAGGGGTGATTCTGTCTGAAGTCATGGGCGAGACACCTGGCACCTAATTAAAAGGTCTTGTCAATAACTCAAGCAACTTCAGGTAAGCTTTCCATATCAATTTAAGGCCCACTTCAGTATCCAAACCTGGCATGATAGACCCATGGCATGATAGACCCCTGGCATGATAGACCCATGGCATGATAGACCCCTGGCATGATAGACCCCTGGCATGATAGACCCCTGGCATGATAGACCCTGGCATGATGACCCATGTGATGGGCCCTGGCATGATAGACCCCTGGCTTGATGGACCCTGGCTTGATAGACCCTGGCTTGATGGAGCCCTGTGATATAGACCCCTGGCATGATAGACCCCTGGCATGATAGACCCTGGCATGATAGACCCCTGGCAGTAGACCCCTGACAGTAGACCCCTGGCATGATGGGCCCTGGCTTAATAGACCCCTGGCATGATAGACCCCTGGCATGATAGACCCATGGCATGATAGACTCTGGCATGGACCCCTGGCATGATAGACCCTGGCATGATAGACCCTGGCATGATAGACCTCAAGTATATGAAGTTAGGTTAAGTTAGATCTGGTTTAATGTTCGTTAGGTTAGGTTAGGTTAAGGGGCGTCACGGTGGCTCAGGCGGTTGGACCAAAACAAAGTGAGAACACAGATTACCCCTTAAGTCTCTCCTGGCCTCCACCTACTCCACCCTACCCCTCCACCTACTGTACTCACCTACCCCTCCACCCTACCCCTCCACCCCTACCCCTCCACCTACTCCACCCTACCCTCCACCCTACCCCTCCACCCCTACCCTCCACCTACTCCACCTACCTCCCCACCTCTCACCTACCCCTCCACCTACTCCCACCTACCTCCCACCTACTCACCCTACCCCTCCACCTACTCCACCCTCCCCTCCACCTCCCCCCACCCCTACCCCCACTCCACCCTATCTCCACCTACTCCACCCTACCCTCCACCCTACTCCACCTACCCCTCCACCTACTCCACCCTACCCTCCACCTAATCCACCCCTACCTCCACCCCCTCCACCCTACCCTCCACCTAATCCACCCTACCCTCCACCCCTACCCCTCCACCTACTCCACCTACCCTCCACCTACTCCCACCCCTACCCCTCCACCTACTCCACCCCTACCCTCCACCTCCCACCCCTACCCTCCACCTACTCCCCCTACCCCTCCACCCTACTCCACCCTACCCCTCCACCCTCTCCCACCCTACCCCTCCACCTACTCCTCCACCCCTACCACCTCCACCCTACTCCACCTACCTCCACCCACAAACAACCAGGTGACTGACAAATTCAACGACCTAATTGAACGCTAACAAGCAGTATAAGGACCCATTCTCTAACCCACTAATCACCTTGTTAGAGCGGTTATTATGGTAAGGTAAATCTCTGTCTATCTAGAGCGATGGTCAGTTGTCAGGTTCCATTAACAAGACCAACTTGTGTGTGTGTGTGTGTGTGTGTGTGTGTGTGTGTGTGTGTGTGTGTGTGTGTGTGTGTGTGTGTGTGTGTGTGTGTGTGTGTGTGTGTGAAAAATACGTCATAATACACAAGTAAACACAACGATCTCTCTCTCTCTCTCTCTCTCTCTCTCTCTCTCTCTCTCTCTCTCTCCATCACCTGTTTCATATTAATTGGTTTACCTGAATGACTACGACCTTAACACACTAACCTTCTTCTCTAGCCTAACACTAACTTCTTCTCTAACCAAGCCTAACCTAACTAACCTAACTAACACTAACCTAACACTAACCTAACCCTAACTTCTTTAACCCTAACCTAACCCTAACCTAACCTAGCCTCCTTTGGGTCATATGGAAGGCATTAGTTATACCGAGGTCTAACCCCACCGAGCTTGACCATTAAGACAGGTGTGTGAGACTCTGACAGGTGTGTGAGAGGCTCTGACAGGTGTGTGTGTGAGAACTCTGACAGGTGTGTGTGAGGCTCTGACAGGTGCATGAGAGACTCTGACATGACTGGCAGGTGTGCGAAGGCTCTGATATGACTGACAAGTGTGTGAGAGGCTCTGACAGGTGTGTGAGAGGCTCTGAAAGGTGTGTGAGGAGCACAGAAGGTGTGTGAGAGGCTCTGACAGGTGTGTGAGAGGCTCTGACAGGTGTGTGAAGGCTCTGACAGGTGTGTGAGAGGCTCTGACAGGTGTGTGAGAGGCTGACAGATGTGTGTGGGAGACTCTGACAAGTGTGTGGGAGGCTCTGACAGATGTGTGTGGAGACTCTGACAAGTGTGTGTGAGAGGCTCTGACAGATGTGTGTGTGGGAGACTCTGACAAGTGTGTGGGGAGCTCTGGCCAAGTGTGAGAGGCTCTGACAGGTGTGTGGAGGCTGACAGGTGTGTGGGAGGCTCTGACAGATGTGTGTGGGAGACTCAGACAGGTGTGTGGGAGACTCAGACAGGTGTGTGGGAGACTCTGACAGATGTGTGGGAGACTCTGACAGATGTGTGAGACTCTGACAGATGTGTGTGAGAGGCTCTGACAGATGTGTGTGTGGGGGCTCGACAGGTGTGTGTGAGGCTCTGACAGGTGTGTGAGAGGCTCTGACAGGTGTGTGGGGGAAGCTCTGACAGGGTGTGTGAGGGTCTGACAGTGTGTGGGGACTCTGACAGATGTGTGTGTGAGGAAGCAATCAACTTCAACTAGTCAGGTGGCTTCTCTAATTGATTACACCTGCCTACATAGGTGCCAGCCTGTAGTGTTAGAGTGGTGACAACCTGTAGTGTTGGTGTTGGCCTGTAGTGTTAGAGTGGTGACAGCCTGTGGTGTTGGTGGTGCAGCCTGTAGTGTTAGTGTAGTGCCAGCCTGTAGTGTTGGTGTGGTGCCAGCCTGTAGTGTTGGTAGTGACAGCCTGTAGTGTTGGTGTAGTGCCAGCCTGTAGTGTTAGTGTAGTGCCAGCCTGTAGTGTTGGTGTGGTGCTAGCCTGTAGTGTTAGTGTAGTGCCAACCTGTAGTGTTAGTGTAGTGCCAGCCTGTAGTGTTAGTGTAGTGCCAGCCTGTGAGTGTTGGTGTGGTGCCAGCCTGTAGTGTTGGTGTGGTGCCAGCCTGTGGTGTGGTGTAGTGCCAGCCTGTAGTGTTGGTGGTGCAGCCTGTAGTGTTGGTGTAGTGCCAGCCTGTGGTGTTGGTGTGGTGCCCAGCCTGTGGTGTTGGTGTGGTGCCAGCCTGGTGTTAGTGTAGTGCCAGCCAGTAGTGTTGGTGTGGTGCCAGCCTGTGGTGTTGGTGTAGTGCCAGCCTGTAGTGTTGGTGTAGTGCCAACCTGTAGTGTTGGTGTAGTGCAGCCTGTAGTGTTGGTGTAGTGCCAGCGTAGTGTGGTGGTGCCTGTAGTGTTAGTGTGAGTGCCAGCCTGTAGTGTTGGTGTAGTGCCAGCCTGTAGTGTTAGTGTAGTGCCTGTAGTGTTGGTGTAGTGCCAACCAGTAGTGTTGGTGGTGGCCTGTGGTGTGGTGTGGTGCCAGCCTGGTGTTGGTGTGGTGCCAGCCTGTGGTGTTGGTGTGGTGCCAGCCAGTGGTGTTGGTGTGTGCCGCCCGTGGTGTTTGGTGGTGTGACCCGTGGTGTTGTTAGTGCTGCCAGTGGTGTTAGTGTGGTGCCTGACCTGTAGTGTTGGTGTGGTGCCAGCCTGTGGTGTTGGTGTGGTGCTTGACCTGTGGTGTTAGTGTGGTGCCAGCCTGTAGTGTTAGTGTGGTGCCAGCCTGTAGTGTTAGTGTAGTGCCAACCTGTAGTGTTGGTGTGGTGCCAGCCTGTAGTGTTGGTGTAGTGCCAGCCTGTAGTGTTAGTGTAGTGCAACCAGTAGTGTTAGTGTAGTGCCAACCAGTAGTGTTGGTGTGGTGCCAACCAGTAGTGTTGTGTGGTGCCGACCTGTGGTGTTAGTGTGGTGCCAGCCTGTGGTGTTGGTGTGGTATGACCTGTGGTGTTGGTGTGGTTGACCTGTAGTGTTGGTGTGGTGTGCC